TAGTGCATTGAATGGGCCATCATATTACTTTTGGGAAAACATTAGCCAGGGATGCTAAACTCCACTTTGAAGTCTACCACAAGAATAAATATCACCAATCATCACTGTAAGTCATTAGCAAGTAACCAGTTGCAACTACTGGGATCTAGAGGCAATTTTTTTCCTGAACATGTCTTTCATGCTGACATTTGCTTAATTGGTGGCAATAAGGCAGCTATTCTTGCCACTGGGGTGAGAAAAATCTGACACCTGCTCCATCCTGGACATAAATATTTCATGAAGATCCTATCTATTCAACTGGTGCTCAGGAGTTTAGGATTTGACTCTTAGTGTGAGGGAACATTGTGACCTTCTCATCTTAATTGTCCCGTTGCTGCCTTCTCCCACTGCCCTTAGGAGACTTGCTTCACTTAACTCCAGTTTTATGGCTGGCCCCCTTTTTGCAGCATGGATAAGAAAGATTTTGTGATGCCTTTTCTGTGCTATGTTTAGAATCTTAAATTCAGAACTTGGAATTTCTCAGACAAATTCAAAGTTACTAAGGACCTCCCAGGATCTGTGCCCCAGTAAGATCACAAAAAGGAAGCCATTGCAATGGTTGGAGGGCAGAGTTATACAAAAGGTTACTAAACATTATTGCTTGTGCTTGATGACTTCCAACTGCCCTGCCACCCACCTTCTTGTTGAGCCAGAAGCAAATTTGAAGAAGAAACCGCTGTGCATCACTTCCCTAGCAGAACATGTTGCAGACAAAAGGAATCAAAACCACAACTAGAGAATTGGATTTCCCCTGCTTTCTCCAAAATAAATATTTGTTTGCGACAAAAGCAGCCGGAAGAATGAGACGTACCCCTGACACTGAGGGCCTGTGTGTTTGTGCCAGCTGAAGTAGAGATATGACACTCCACTGAGTGCTACCTAAGTTCAGGCTGAGCTCCATCATCCTGAATTTTGTAGAAACATCTTCAGCTACTTGCAAAAAGCAAAGAGGGAGGAAAGCCCGGGAAGTCTAGCAGGAATCCATTGCAAGCGAAAAGCAAACTGAGCAGTGGGACTGCCTCTTGGAGCTGCTCCCTGCACTACTCCTTCCAAACTTCTGTATCATTTCCTGTGAAGCCATAGCAGGGAAGAGTCGGATACACCACACACTTCCTTACAGCATCATGTGCTGGTTGTCTTTTGGAATGAACTCCAAAAAGGGTGACCTTGGTTGGTATAAAAATATCTGTACCTAAAACAGGTGCCCAAGCCCAGCAGGATCACAGCCATTATCTGAGAAGAAGATAAGCAGCTCCTAGACATGGTTAGTAAGGAGAGGAAATGAAGGGGAACTCCCGTTGCTCTCTGGAATACAGGCATTGTGTCCACTTCTGGATGCTGACCTTGGAAGGATCCATGTTTTTCTGAGTAGGGCTCATCCTTTAAAAATCCCAGTACTATAGATTGTACTACACTATTTGTGTAGTAGCTTAGCAGTCAGAAGCACTGCCTAGAAAGTAAACAATATTGGTCAAAACCCCCTCCCCTCACAGTTTAAGTGGGTTTACACTCCAGTTTTCCATTTTCTTGGGGGTGGCCCAAAAGAGTATGCTTCTGTGAATGGTTGAAAAGACAACAGATTAGTAGTGAAGGAGAGAGCAGAGCTTTGTTGTTAGCTTAGGGAGTCAGCTGGAAAAACCTTTTCTGGACTTCAGAGAGAGCACTGTTCATCAGGTAGGTAAGCATCCTCATGGTGAGGTTTTGGATTTGACAGATATTCATATTCTTTGAAAATCAAGTGCCCCATCACTTGATTTTTCTTTCTTATTTCCATCTTATGCTTCACTTTTCTTGCAGAGGGGCAATAAGAAAAATATATGGCACAGAGATTGCCATTAAAGAGTCAATTTTTATAAGCAGTTACCACATGAGATTATCTGGAGTACCACAATTATGGCCTTTCGCAAGCTTAGGGAAATGTTGTGGTGTCTCATATGGCACCATTTGCTAACACTTAGCCAGAAGAGATTTTTATGGTCAGCATGCACTCTAAATTCATAATGTTTAGCTTCACATTTTTTACTCTTGTCCACTTTTCCAGTTCTCATTTTCAACTGTTACGAGGCATGAATTTGCACAGAAGAACCTTCCCTGTCATCAGGCCAAAAAAATCCATTCAGATTAGGAGACGGAAGGAGACTTAGAAAGAAAATCTCTTTTGGATCATACTTGTACCTTCACAAAAGCCATATTTTTATTATGCCCTTACATAACCTGTCCCCTGTTTCAAATACAGTTTGAAAAAAACCTCCTTCATACAAGAACATGACCAGCTGAGTAAATAAAAAAAGCTGTTGAACTTGTGGATAGTACTTACTGCTACCCTAACTATTTTGATGCATGTGCATAGCAATACATTTTGGAGAGAAATAGTGATACTGAGACACATGAAAACAGTTGGTAAAGGCTACAAGTTAACCTGAAAACATATTCCTGGTAATACAGTTAAAGGAAAGGGAGAGGTGCTCAAAGGTAAATTCAGGTCAGTTGAAGTCTACAAAAACAAGACTTGGATGACTTATAAAACAAAGTCATACGCAAAGAGGGAACAAGTCACAGAAACACCAAATTTACCACAGTGTCATGAGAGGGGAAAGAAGGAAAAAAAATGACAAAAAGAACCCAGCAGTAAAATGAATATATTCATGCAGTGTCAGTCTCTCCAGACAAGAAATGGTGCCAAGCAGAACCGCATCAGCGTGTGGCCGCTTCTTGCACTGACACTAAAAACATCTGTTGAGGTACAGCGTTTATACTGTCTGCCAAATAAGAGTTTTTTAATCTTAAAACATATGCTGGAAATAGGAAAATTTGGACAAGAACAAAAAGAAAAAAGAGGGGTGGGTGGCCAATAAATTAAAAGTGAGAAGTGGGGAAGGACGGATTGGAGACACTGTTTTCCACATAGTGCATTGTAGTTAATTTAAGTCATCTCAGGTCACCAAGGAAAGGGAAACTCATGGAAGAATTCACAGATTGCTCAAAGAAGTTAAAAGAAATGAAGTAATTTTCTTCATGTCATAGACTCTATCATTCAAACACTGGGTTTTGAACAGTTAACCATAAAACTCAGATTTTAACAAGAGTTTGGGAATACATATGGTTTGAGACACAAGAACTGATGCTGACAGAAATCCTCCTATTTTTCAGGCAGGCATATCTCACATTTTTGCAAAAAACATGTATTTAAGTCCCCCAGCTGAGCCAGGGACTAATATTGGCTCAGCAGAAATTATACCTTCAGGCTACTTGGTTAAACACTTACGCAAACAAATTTTAGATACGTAAAATGAGTAAATTATTTAAAGATTCCCACCTTCACATTTAGTTCTCTGGCTAAAGTATCTGGAATAAAAAATTCAGAAATATTTCAGTAAGACTAATTGGCAGATGTGACAAAAAAGATATTCAACTATTTTTAGGATATTTTCCAAATGAAGTACCTAAGTGTTCCTTATGATAAAATACTGTCATAGAGTGCAGCTTATTTAAATTTCTGAAATAAAATATATCAGTACAAGGATATTATTTGGTGAAGTTAGTTTCCTGCATATCGTAAACATGTATGCATAGAAGATTTGATATTATATCACTGACCCTTTGAAGTCAAGAAATTCTTTCATGTAAATCAGTCCCTCTTTGGTACCATCTCAGGTCTACAGTATGCAATGCATGTCTAAAGACAGAAACAAGCAATGCATCAATTTAATATAATTTGTCCACTCAATTAATTCCATGTGAATTGTGCTTTTAGAAGAGAAAATGTGCCTACAATAAAACACAGGACCCTAGAAATCAAAGAGAAAACTCCCTCTCTCTTCAACAGATTTGAGATTTTATTTCTAGAATACTTGACTTTCAAGTACAAAAGATTTATGCTTAGTGAATCGCTGGATATGGTAAATTGCACATTAGCAAAATCTGCCTCAGATATTGTGCTGCATATCCTTCAGGATTTGCTTCAGTTTATTTCTGCTTCATTTATTAAATGTTATATTTTTGGAAACCACCATAGAAATGAACAGACGAATGGGTTGTACACACCATGGCTTACAGGAATTTTTGGTCCTTCTAATGTGCCTGATGGGAAAATTTTAAACTTTGGACTCTGGTACATTACACTCGCTATGGACAACTAATTTCTGGGATATAAAACACACACTAGGCAATATGAAAATCAAATTCTAGAATGAACTGATGGGACCCAATAGGAGACATTTCCCAAGGGCAGTACTCAGAGCTACATAATTTTCTGTCTTATCTGATTTTAATACTTTGATGGAGTTCTCTATATTAGGTGACTATGTAGCTGAGTTTTACTGGGCATTTATGTTCCTGTAAAAATACGGAGATCTTATGTGCTCACATAATAGTATATTCAAATGTTTGTTTCTTCCTGAATACTAAGAGAATGTTTTCTGTGATCATCAGAAGGCAAAAGACAGTTTAAGCCACTGGATATCTCTCAGTTCCTTCAATGTACCACAGTTGGAAAAGATGGAACTAGCACAGGCACTGGAGAAAAATCTTATTGGCTCTTCTGTTAAAATGCTGGTAACAAATTGCAGTTAATTCCTGATGATTGGAAGACTACAATGTTTTAAAAGACCATTAGTAATTAAAATATTTATGTCTGAATTTTCAAATCAGATAATTTCTGTTAAAGTTTGGTGATCATTCTGGGGTTTCATAGCTTTTTTTTTCACTACTACCCAGTAGGAGACTTTCCAGTGATCTGCAACAAGTGGCAAAGTAGATCACGTAGAAATGCATCTTGCAATATCCTTCTTCCAATGAATGTTAAGTTTCATGTGACAGCCAAGCTTTGGCTCAATCTTTGGTGTTTTTGAACATGTCCTCACTTTCAGGGCTATGAACTAAATTCACAAAGTATTTCCACTTTAATTTGCATTCTTATTTCTCAGAGAAAGCTGACTAATCCTTCCTTCCTTGCTCAACAGATGATTGTCTTCTTCAGTGAGAATCTACACACTGTTCATTGCAATATGGAAGCCTAAACTGTAAGTGAAATTTTGGTGACTAATAATTGTTAACCTCCATGTTCAGAACAATTTTGCACACAGCGGATGCAAAAAATACATATAGTAACATGATCGTTTGATTAGAAAATTCATCCACTGTTACTTGTCTGGGCTCAGTTGACCATAATCAATGACTGATTTGTGTCTCTGATCCTTTAAAAAGGCCTAAACCCAACCCAAACCAAACTAAAACAAAAAACCCTAACTGGTAGCATTTAGGGCTTTTTCAAAACTTTAGACAACATAAAGAAAAACAGTTTAAGGTTTCATAGAACTGTTGAGTTTTGAAAAACATTTTTCCCCTTAATTTGAACCATCATTTTCTCAAAGAAAATTAAATTAAAAAAACAACTAACATGTTTTTGTAATTAAACAGAGTACAGAGCTATGCAAACAATAAAGATCCTTGTTTGAAATTAATTCTTGTCCTGCTTCTGGGATTACCAGGGGAATAAAATTATAGCAAAACAAAACAGAAAAACCTGCTACAGCCTAGAACTTGCATTTTACCAGAAGCAAAAGGAAATTTAGACTCAATAGTTTAAAGTTCTGTTCTGTCTCCAAAAAGCATGATTTTAGAGTTTGTTATAAATTTGACAAAATGAAAAATCTCATCACTTCTGTCATCAGAAACCAAAGTTGTACCTCTAATTTTTTTTCTTTATGTCTCACTAGTTTACTTTTCCTCCTTTCTGCCTTAGGGGCATTTTGAGGTGATTCTCAGGTATGTGAAAACAACAATAGTGCATCAAGTCAAGAGGAATTAATTGTCTGAATGTTAGAGGAAAAGGTCCCCGCTAGGGTAGGAAGCTTGCCTGGAGGTGTGAAAGGTCTCACAGAAAAATCTGAAAGCTTTTAAGTTGACTGTATTCCTCTTGTATATTTACGCGAAAATTAAAAAAACCCCACACAAACACACAAACAGAACCACAAAAGGCAACATCTAACCTGTGGATCTGTTTTAAGAAACCCAGAAACTGTTTTTAGAAACAGGTCAGATTCCTGTGAGGAAACACTACTCGTCAATTTAAATACTGAAACACTCAAATCAGCTTCAGAAGTTTAAGTCTCATAGGATATCATAGTATTAAGCATATCAGTTTTGGGGTCTTAGTCTTCTCAGAGTGTCTGTCTGCTTTAACTGCCCATCAGTCCTTTGCTCTGTTGAAATCTCACCATCTGTTTTTTGTTGAGCCACTTGAATAAAGTATTGCTCCCCTTATTCTTTGTGTACAGAACTGCCTTTTGGAACACAATATTTGGTCAAGTTCCTTGGCCCACAAATTTCTTCTTCTTATCCAGTTGTCCTGCCCCAAGTGCCCCAGTTGTGCTTGGGTTCTCAAGAGTCCAAAGTCAACATTTGTAGAGGCACGGGCATGCTGAGTTTGTGGTTGAGGGCACATCCAAATATTGCTACATCCCAGATTTGGTTCAAATACTTAGCATAGCCCATTTATTCTAATTAAATAAATGACATTTCTGCAAAGGAAAGAAGAATGGGGAGAGAAAAGGAGCAGGGATCAACTGCTGAAGTGTTCCCTGTGTCAAAAAACATGAACATTCCTGCAACATTACACTGACTTTGTCACCAGGGACCCAGAGGCCCAGTTTCAAGTTTTTGCTCAGTGCTTCAAGAGTCCCAGGTCACAGAGCTATGCCCATGACTTAATATTGCCAGCATTAAGCAGATTTTCCGGGGAAATTTTTCAAGTACTTTTTTTTTTTTAAATCCTGTTTTCTTCAAGTTGAACAGTCATGTTGCCTCCCTGAGGGCCAGATGCTAACACGTGGAATAGATATCAATGAATTGTTTTCATCCTGCAAGCTAAGGACCATGCAAAAATTCCTCTACTCTTTTCCTTCTCCATGTGGATTTTTTAAAAATATAATTTTCTTTGCTATCCCACCTATCAGTTAAATGGTTTTTTGAGCGTTTTAGCATTGTTTATGTAAATATATTTTACACATTTGAAATGCTTAAAAATGTGACAAAATGTTAATTAATCTTGTTACTTTAATAATTTTTTTGTTCCAGCTTTCATTTCTTCAGGCTGGCATTCGATGATATAAATTTTCAGTGAACGTGTATGGCTATTCTATACCCTCTTAAGACAGGGGATTTTGATGTATCACTCACTACATAATAAAAGAAATGGAGGAAAACTTTGCGGAGCGCGTACTGCCAATTTATCCTAGAATGTCTCGGCTTGTACTGGCGCGTGGCCTGACCACTACAGCAACACGGTGTGCTCGTGGCCGCTCCCTGGCCAGCGGCTCCCCAGCTCCTGCACTGCTCTATCACCGACTTACTGTGTGGCCGTATGCAAATAAACCAACCTTCTCCCAGCTCGGTTTTCCTTGCCCGTAAGGATGGCAGCGCTCACCCCCAGTGCCAGAAGACCGAGTCTTGTGAAGGCTGAGTCCAACAGCAGTGGGCTTTGATCCTGCAGCTGGGTACAGGGCAGTGTGCTGGCAGCCCAGCCACGTTGTCGCTGCGAGCTGTGTTCAAGGCAGGATGGGTGTCGCAGGATTCACTGCGGGAAACCTTCTGCTGAAGACATGACTGGGTTCCCTGACTCCACTGAGCTCTTCCTTAGTGTGTTTCATAAGCTGAATGAGTCCCAGTAAAATAGCTTTTCGTAACACTGTGAATGTATAAAAAAGGTCTAAAACTGTACTAGAAGAGCACACTTTCTGAATTATTGGTAATAATGTAACTATAGTTAAGAGAGAGTTTCCACCTATTCTAGTATTTAATGCTACTTTCAAATACATAAATAGAATATTCAAATTGATCATATCTGTGTTACAATGTAAACAATATTAGGAACCAAAGCTTCATCCACCCCCTTTTATTACTTTTGCAAAATGCAAACATGCATTCGCACACTTTGTAGATGACTTGCATCTGCATTTAATATGAAATCAGTTTTCCTAGACCTCTGAGTGAAATCAAATGAAGAACAGAAATAACAGTAAATTTCAGCAAGAATATAATTTTTGAAGAGTGTTATGAGCCTGAGCAAATGTTTACCTTGATTTTCAATAATTCTTAATCTGAATTTTATCCACACATTTAAGCATTGGTCTAATTAATGCAGTAAAGTTGATTTCTCTTTAATGTAGGAAAGTCAGTTTCTCTTCCTTCTTTTCCTTTTTCTATTCCCCCCCCAACCCCTTCTTTCCTTTTTTCCTCCCACTTTTTCTTTTTCTTTTTTAAGGAATTATTGTTTTCTGGGCAGAAAGAAAAAAAACTTTACAATACATTCTTTACTTACTCATTAAAGAAGATAAACTAATTATACTTTTGCATTTTCCCCACCCTGAGAAAGAATAATGTTGCAGGTCAGGATCTACTACAATAGGCTTTATATTTTAGAAGATTTAATCTGCAGGGATGACTTAATGTTTCCAGGGAGCGGCATTGCAATACTAGTTCATATGTCTCTCTCCTATAAATATGAGCTCAGATTTTTAAAAACAAAGTTTGAATACTAAGGCAGTTAATTAGTCTGGCTCCAAAAGACACTAAATAATATCTCCTTCAAAACAATCTCTAAATTGATGAGATTCTTGGAAATACTGTGACATATACCATAATAATTCGTTGTAAACACAGATCTGGAGCTTTGCTCCTGACAATAATGGAAGATGTTAGAACACAGCAAATTGCTCCTGTACATCCCATTGTTGCTTCCTGGAAGGATCATTTCTTCTTGTTTTAATATGGATATTCACCATTTATAGCCATAGAAAATGGGTGTGGAAACACTGTTTCTGGAATACATTTAGATTGGTATGAAACCAGATCAGCACTAGAATTTGAATTTAAATTCAGCATTACAAAAATCTAGCATAATGTTATCATTTCAGAGTTTAAACAGCCAACTGGCAGAATACTTTCTCTATAACCAGATATAACATGCAATGTCTAAAATGCAATTGTCTTTTTTGTGTGTCTTGCTTTCATTTATTGAAGAAGGAACCAGAACTTCAAGAATATCTTCACTTCTAGAGTATCTGCTTAGAGGATCTTGCTTGATTAATAAAACTCATATCTGAACATGTTTGCAAAATTAACTCTTCACTGACACCTGACTTCAATGCCAGAGTAAAGGGATTTCAGTAGCATTAGTGGGTTAGGAAGCAGAGTAGAGAAGAAGCCATCAGAGAGACCTGAGGCACAGCCAAGTTCTAGAGAAAATATGCACTATTATGGTTCATTGTAATTTAAGTTAATGCAAGAGAAACCCAAGAGAGAGGTATATTTGGAATCACACCCAAGGCATTCGTTCTTTTTGGAGCAGGATGAGGACTTATGTACTAGTATCGTTCTGTTCTTCTTATTATTAACTCAAATAGCTGTAGCATAAATACTAAAATTTCTGAAAAAAAATAGCTACATCTATGTGTTCTATGGAAGACTGTCAAATAACGGTAATGTCTGTTAAAATTATTAAGTATCATCACAGATTATTCTACTTTTTAATGTGGGGCTTGGAAAAATTCAAAGGGAAATCCTACATTGCATGTGCAAAGGACACACACAAAGTCCAAGTCTCTTTTCTTTGGCACATCTGCAACTTTAATATGTCTCATGCTGTTTTCAAAATGTTTTTATGAAAAAATATAAAATGTGTGTTCTTTAATGTCAAGAAATGTACAAGTTAATTTCTAAAGTCACATGGGCTTCATTTTGCCCTGAGATACAGTCTTCAATTCCTCTGTGTTTAGGGGAAGATTTGAATGCATCTGTTTACCAATACAAAGAGAACAAATGGAGCATTGCTTCAACAACCGAAAACCATTACAAGATATACAGATCAACTTACACTAGAACTAAACCAAGAGCAGAAATATCACCACCACAATCCTCCAGTCCTTTTACTGGTACTTATCTGACCAATAATGGCTGAAAGCCATCTATCATTGCTTAAACTACATGATGATAAAACCAGAGTCTGGAAAATATCATTACT